AGATAAATAATTGATTTTTAACTAATAGGGTTTGTCATAAGAGGCATATGACTACCTATTCTTCTTGTTTGTGATGGGGAGATATTGAAAATGTGGATCATATATTATGTCATTGTTAGGGATGACAAAACTAGTCTTAGCTAGTGGGTTAACCAGCCAATGGTAGGCCAATTTAGACATCTTAGCCCGCTAGCCCACCTGGCTCGCTCCACTTAACTCTCTAGCCCATCATTATTTTTATTTTTTTAATATTAAGTTTCAATAATTTGATTTATTTTATTATATGTAGTTTGAGGTTTTTTCTATAACAAATCTATTAGAAGAGTTATTTATTTAATAATATTATTATTATAACATCTATTTTATTATGTAGAAAATTTGAAATTTATTATGCAATGAATAGAATCAAATCTATTATAATTTGATATTTATTTTATTATTTAGGTACAATAATTTATGTGAGTTCTTTAGATGTTGAGAACAAATATGTTGAAAGAAGTATCCAAAATAAAAATGCATTTTTCCTTTTTTATTTTTATTTTTATTTTTTGGTGGGTTGGCCTGCTATTCTACCAATCCACATTTAAGCAAGGTAAGTCAGGACACCTAGCCCATTTTTACTTAGCGGGTCAGCCCAATCTAATCCATTTTTGGCGGGATGACATTAAGGTGAGCTTAAACGGGTCAGGTTGACCCGTTTTGCCATCCCTAGGCATTGCCCTATTGCAAGCGTAGTTTGGTATCTCTTGATCCTAAGTTCATACTATAGTTGGTTCTTCAATTTAGATAGTGGATTATGGTTGCTTTGAAATCTTACAAATGACTCCAAGATTTAAGGTAGGTCTTAGTTTCACATTTTTGTTGACGTTAGATACCTTATGGTTTTGTCATAATGAGTTGGTGTTTCAAGATATTATTGTGCAACCTCTTGTTATTAAAGTGCGTGTTTTGGCTTTTGGGGATGCCATTGTTTCAAGTCGATTGTAGTTTCCTAGTTTAGCTATTCTAGCAATGTATGCAAGTTCTATTTGGAATATTGTGGATAATTCAACAAAATCAAACACCATATTCGGTGGATACACCCTCCAACTTGTTGCTTTAAGTTAAATTGTGATGCATTGGTGGCACATTTCATGATCATAGGGGTGTGATCTTATTTTCCTTTATTGCAAATATTGGTTACTACTCTATTACTCATGCTGAGTTATGGGCAATATATATAGGAGTGGGTATTATGTGGAATAAAGGTTTCATGATGTTTATTGTGAAGTCCAATTCTATGACTGTAGTGACCTTTCTTATCAAAGGGTATGCCTCTCATCATCCGTATTTCTGAATAGTTCAAAGTATTCTTTCTTTAATATGGCAGGTGGTGAGCTTCTTTGTCAGCATGTCCATCATGAAGCAAATTAAGTAGCAGATGCTCTAACAAATTTAGGGATGTCTCTTAATGTTAAATTACAAGTTTATGATGTTATTTTTACCTTTTATTGTTTTGATAGCTGAGGTCGATGTAGCTTTTACTTTTTATCCTCATGGTTTCTAATTGATTTTGGTTAGGGTGATTTTGTCCCTTCAATTCACAAAAAAAAAAAAAAATGTTACATTATAATGATTTTGATAGCAAATATGAACTAGGCCTGTAGACAATTTGGACATTAGGTTAGGCCTTTTCTTTATTCGATTAGTAACTGGACACATGTAGCTAAGGACCCAATATGAACATATAAATGTATTATGTTTTTTATTTTATTTTTTTTATATGTATTAGTATTTTTTTTTGAAACACTGATATAAATTAAACATGAGCCAAAAAGTTTGATTATTTTCACTTGGGAGATGAAAAAAACTCTTGTGAACGACTCGATATTAGTGATGGAATCTAAAACATGGAATTAATTGATTCGCGTAACCCATAATCAATCTCCTTCCTGACTATGTTAGGCAAAAAATACATGATTTAATAAATTGTCTTCTTTTTATAGAAAATTTTTATACAAGAATTTTCTAGCACAAATTTGTTGATAATCTCTTGGAGTTGCACACATTTAAATCTTTTTATAGAGTATTTCTTAGGCATGACAACGGGGCGGGGCGGGGCAGGTTTTACATTCTCCACCCCCGCCCCCGCAAATTTA